GGGGGGGGGGGGGGGGGAATCAGCCAGGGGGCAGCCGGAAGCGCTACAACTTTCTGGTTCTCCGCTAACTTCATTTTCTCTCTGCCGTGCTTGTTTTTTGGTTGAACGTGTGGCCGATAGCCAAGATGTTGAAGATCGAGAAATAGTAGTGAGTGCAGCGTGAAACACGCATGCGGTTCACGGATGAGGTGCGTTGTGGTGGACTTCTGAAACGAAATGCTCTCCACCGTAGCCGCCGACCCCTAGATGTGCCTATGTGATTCGACACACTACAACGAACGATCACCAAGTCCAACCTGGCGCGTGCAGTACGACGCAGGCGCAGAGGTGTGATCACCGCTGCCTTGCGGTTACGCGGCAGAGCTGAAGCTCAGTAGGCACAGAGCGACAGCGTGTGACGTTACCGCGGATGAGCTTTTTACAAGTACTTGTGTTGAACACACGGGCATGTTCAGGAGTTCCACTTGCGTCCGTGACACAAGAACATCCAGCCAGCCTCTCAGAGGCTACAAACCGGCCTACCCGAGCAACACCGAGGTTATTTTTGGTAGAAAGGCTAAAGCGGCGCAATGTGACGTCCGCCACAGATCCCGTCGGACCTTCGCTACAAGACGAAGACACCCCGCTCGCGCGGCTAAACACGTCTCAGAACATGCAATACACGGAACCCCTTTTGTTGTTCGCACGACACCCGTTGCACCCGGAAGCGAACCCCGCTGACTTACTTTTTCGACTTGTACGTGGGCGGGCATGGACATTTCCCAATAGTCCAGGCGATCTTCGCGTCCCGCGGCTTTCAAGCGTTCCCGCTGTTCGGAAGATGCGTTCTTCCCCAAGCTTTCTCTGAAGAGAATGTAGTCCGCGCCGTGGTCGCTGTTTGTGCGATAGTCGCTAGCTCCGCCTTTGCCACCGCCGCCGCCGCCGGCGGCTTCTCCCCTAGTAGTATTGATCACCTCTGCAGATGAGTCCCGCAGCCGTCTCAGGGACTTCTCCCCGTGCAAGACCAGCACCGGGACTGTGAGGTTCGATCTCGAAAAAAGGCTGGGAATCTCCTCAGCCAACCGGCTATTGCGATCGTTTGCGTGTGTGTGTGTGCGTGTCGTGGCGTTTTTATCGCCCCCACGCCATGCGCACAATTTGTTGGACGTGTTGAAATTGCGCGGCCGTGCGCGCAATCGTTTTTCGTTCATTGCCGTGCATTGGTTCCGGCGGCGACCGGTGACGGCAGGTGCATATGTTGTGCAGCAGGGGGAGGGGGGGCGAAGCAGGCAGCGTTTTTGAGAACAGGAGTGCACCCCGAGCTTAGCAGCAAATTCAGCGTCAATTAGCTGCGCCAGCAGCAGCGGGAACTAACAGTGACTAGCGCTAGTTCCGTGCGTATCGAGACCGTGGGGCTTTTAGCGTTCCCCGATAGGGGAGAAAATTGGGCGCCAACCCAAACGAGCTCGTACGCATACCCTCCACACAAGATTTGGTGCACAGAGTTAACGCAAATAGTTGTTCACAATCCACGTGAAGAATACGCCTCCGTGAGGGTCAGGAGGATGCACAGAGCGCGACGCTTTCACTGCAAGCAATAACGGTATTAGGTTGATATCGTGCTTCTGTGCGGTGCGTTGCGCCTGCCGCCTAATCGCGACGAAACGTACCCAATCTGGAGCGACATTGTTCCGAAAATGGCTGCCTTGATCCCGGGTCCCCCCTTGCCGCTCACGACGTCGACGAGTCTCTCGAGCGAGAAGAAGGGGCCGTTCGCGTAACCTCGCCCTACGCTATCGCCGCCCCCGTCGTGTTTGCTGCCGCTCCTGTTGCTCTCGGACTTGACGTTAGTGTCTTGTGAAATTTTCCAGTCCTCCCCTTGGCCATTCCGTTCGCTCTCTCGCACGGCGGGGATCACGTTGAGGTAAAACCGGTCTGCAAGCCAGGGAAGAGAGAGGTCATGGCCGCCAATGCCGCCGCTGGTCCCGTGGCCGCCCTGCTTAGGACTTTGCTGCGGGCGGTGAGCTTGTCGCGGTTGCTGCGAAACGTCTGATGCTGCCGCCGCCGTTGCTGCTTGTGCGGAGACGTTCATCGCGGGTTCTCTGGACCCATTCCTGTCATCGCCGCGGCGGGTTTGCCGAAGGGGATTGATCTCGGTGGGGCGGGGACGCTTGAGCGATCGAGGCCCATGGCTGCTGCTGCTGCTGCTGCCGCTGCTGCTGCTACTGCTGCTGCTGCTTGCAAGACGTACAACGCACACGCACATACAAAAGGAGGAGGTAGACCGAGGGAAAAGGGGTCGCGTGCAATACCACGTACACAAAGCGAGGAGACCCACACACGGCGTTCGGGACGAACGGGGGTGAGCAAGCTTTCACGGGTTCGCAACCACCACGGCATGTGGTGGTCTGCACCTGTGCATGCAGCTGTCCCATGTACGTGCGAACGAGGATCACGGCCTTGACGAATATCAGTCGTTGTCCTACAGTAGTATTCTACGTGAGTACTTGCATCCTAAAGTATTTTGGTGTTTGTTGTGTTCGAGCCGTTCCATAGAGCAATTGACCGCGCGCCCATACGGCATGAGCGTTTTTCAACCACGTCTCGTGTGAATGGGCGATGGGGTGTGTTCCACATACATTTCGAGTTCGGGAACAGCAAGGTTCCCTGACAGAGATTTTTCTATGGCAACGTGCTCACGCAAATACTTTCGGCTATCAGGTAAGAAGAAGTCCAGAGCAGCAAGCTACAAACTGCTGTGCATCATCCCACTTGAAACACGTGCAGTCAACATTTTTTTTTTTTTTTTCAAACGCATCAACATGCTGGCAATCTCAGCCTCGCTTCGCAGCTGAAAAATCTGCGCAAGCGCCCATACTTGTGTGATGCCCTACCGTCCATGCGCAAAAAGGCAGCAGCGGTGCCCACCGTGCGTGTGTCTCATGCGAGAGAGGACTTGTGGCAACCAGAAAATTTGAAATGGTAGGCTACAACTAACAATCAGACTACCTTTTCGCTGTACGCAACAGCGACAATCCCCAGGTGAACAAACAGCCGCTGGGTCCTATAGAAGCCATCGCTCACTCACCATGCAATGGGATCGATCATCACCAACCTGTGCAGTCTCAACCTGTCAGCTCTCAACCTCTCAAGAAGGAGTACGCCAGCAAGACGCGGCAGCGGCGGCGGGGGGAGCGAGGGAGCGCGAGGGTCTCGTACAGAGAAAGAGGCGTTGCGGTTTGTCATGAAACCGCCAAATTCCGAAGTTTTGTCCGACGAAAATAAATCTTGTTTTTTGCCGAGTAGCCGCACGTCACGTTCCTGGCTTCTGGATACCATCAGCATGCTAGCTGCCTAGCGAGGAGAAGCAAAGCGGTCTTATCTGTGCCATACAGCTTCGTTCCAGACGGAGCGTTGTGTGCCGCATGAGAGGGAAACGGGCACCGACACGCGGTGGCACGCGTCATTGCAAGACATAAAGCGCGGCACAAGGACCATCGCCCGAGGAGCACATCAACGTTCATACATACACGACCATACCAAACAGGATCCACGAATCGCTCCGAAGGACACTCCCATTTACCAATAAAAGCCCACCGCCGTGGTAGAAGAGGAAGAGGAACAGCCGCTGCACGAGCATGCAGCCAATCCCAATCCGCTCTTCCCCACCGTTTCCGACACGACAGCAGCAGTCCGCTCGAGGTGGGGTCGGGCTGGCAGACTCCACGTCCTACCGACGGGGTGATCTTAGCGGCGGGGTCAGCGGCGTTGGTGGACGAGAAGCAAGCCCGCTCTTCCGAAGAACAAACAACAACGCCCAGCAGGATCGAAGCAACTCCAACCCGGGCCTGCAGGCCTTGCGCCAGATCGCCTCCGACGCAACAGCCGCGTCTCCTACTCCTGGTCCCACGCACGTCGTGGCGCGTCCGCGGACGACGGGGTCGATGAGCCAGTACTTGGACCAAGCCAGGCGACGATCGATTAGCTCGATCCGTTCTACGGCACACAGCAATAATAGCAGCAGACCTCCGAGCGGCCATCAGCAGCAGCAGCAGCAGCCCCGTCTTACACGCAACGCTACCCTAGGAGATCTTCGGTGGACCCCCCCCGCTGCCGTTGGTTTGGGCGGGAAGAATAAAGAAGGTCGTGACGATACTGGGGGGGATACTAGCGGGGGCGGCGGGGATATGATAGCGAGGCGACGTTGGCAAATGGGGGCCACGCTGGGGGGCGGAGGCGTTGGGGCTGCGGGCGGTAGCGCACGCCCGCTCATAGTAAGACAGAGCAGCAATGGCCACTCGAGGCCAGGCAGCCCCGAAGTAGTCACGGCGGGAAGGGGGTCGAGGCTGCCACTTTTGGACTCTACGCCGACCCTACCACAACAGCAGCAGACCCAGCGACAGCGTAGCATGCATGTTTCAGCTGAGAGCAACGATCTCTTCGAGCACGGGCTCTCATTCGGTGTTTCGACCCTGAAGGGCCACAGGCCGTACATGGAAGATGAGTTCAAGGTATGCTTCGCAACCACCCATGATCCCGATGGTAGCACTAGCCTATTATAGCTGCGGTTCTACGCAAACGTTCCGAACGTTTTGAATCACAAAGTATTTGGGTCCACTCGTCTGCCACACGAATGTCGAACTGTGAATGACGCACATACGAGCAGCTCGGTTTACTGGGTTGTAGTGGTGGGACGGACAGATACGAGGAAAATGGGGGGGTACTCGAATATTATAGTACACTATACTTTATCAAAGCGATGAATAACCCTGGGTTTTTTTTTTTTTTCGGCAAAAGAAAAAAGGAGGAAAGAGTGCGGGGAGAGAGACAGAAGACAGCAGAAAGAGACGAGTGTACTTCTGTAGACGCAACAGCTATCTCCACCCATAGGCCATGAGGGCTGCCCGCGACAGGACGGTGGGCACAGACAGGGTCATAGAAGGGTTGATGCGTGGTCGCGGTGCGGCCGCTAGGGCAGGTTAGGCTTGTAGACCTCGACAAGATCAGTCGTCAAGCCACCCAAACTACTCTATTTTCAGTATATTCAAATGATCAGTGAAAATGATCAGTGAGAGGGCTTGTAGACCCATATATCTGGTTCTCGTACTTCTGCACTTCTCTGTCCCCTCCTCGATGCGAGCCCTGCCGGCTCACTGCATCATGTAGTTATGTGGAGTTATTGATGTGTGTCTCTGTGACCGGATACTGGGGAGAGATTCATGGTGGCATTCTCATTTAGAGCAGTGTGCATTTATCGAATTTTGGCCGTTCCAGGGACCTTGATATACCCGCTGGCACTAACGTATTTTCATTGGTCACCGGTACGCGGTCGATGCGAATAATATAGACACACCTACCAGTTGACTTGCCAACACCTGGCGCGGAGGGATGCAGGACGGCAACTCCATGGCATGTCACAACGCCAGCATGTACAAATGATCAATCAATGATCTGTCAGGACGCCTGTAGACCCAAAAGGGTTAATCCATGTACAGCACGTACAACGTGTGTACTTTTCTCCGCTGTCCAGTATGCGCAAATGCCCGCAGGGTGTCTCCGAAAGCATAGCAGTATGTACCAGCGCCGTTGTCGGCTGATGCACACGTGTAACATGCTTCCGACTATGTCCTGAAATCAAACCCGTTGTCTTTCACACCTCTACGCCAGATACTGCAATGCATATGCTGTACTGACCCGTTCTATGCGCAGGTTATTCCAAACCTCGAGCTGAATGGGGGGGCTAGTGACTTGTTCAGAAGAGAGGGCAGGGACATGGAGCCAACCCACTTTTTCGGGATGTTCGATGGGTGAGTGGGTCAGTAGCCGTGTGGCGATACGGTAGTTTTTGGGGGACTGTGTATGAAAACTGTGCCATCATTTCCCTCCGTGTTCCTTCCTCTTGGGTGTTCTCGCGAGCTTTTTCCCACCCGGTGGGAGGCCACAAACCCGAGCGAAAACCCTTTCTTGGAAAGCCTGTTGGGATGTGTATCTCGGACAATTGCTCCCGCACTGTTGTTCCTGTTTGCTTTTGAGATAGCGGTCCTTTCAAAGCAACGAGGAAGACATGGGCCTCTGTCTTTGCGGCACTGCCCTGTGACCTACGGCGACCCTGGGCCATGCACCAGAGGTACATGACCAAACGTCCGAAGTGAGGTTGCAGTGGTATCATGGGAAACTCTTTCCCCCCCCGTTTTCACAGAGCATCCCCTGGCTCACTTAAATTTAGGCGCCCGCAAACGTTGTTTCTCGGTCAAACACAGCAACCCAAACCCTGGAGGTAGTGGCCAAAAGCGTACATTCATGACCCGAGTCTTTGTTCTCATGGTTGGCATGCCAAGAGGAATACGCTGGGTCGCGAACCCTATAATTGCGTCCCTCATGCGTACTCATTACCCCAATCCCACTACGGGGCTGGCTGCGAGAATAACAAGAGGTGGTTGGTTCCGTGGTACATCATTGATCACTTCTGTCACTGGCCAAGAAACGCTTATTGCCACCGGCCCTGTCACCCTGTTCGAAAAAAAAGGCACGCCGGCGGAAGATGCAGCAAAGCCCTAACGCATATCCTGGGGCAGACGGTGTCCCGTGAGCCCGACTTCAGCTTGGAGCTGCAGTCGGCCGTGCACAAGGGGTTCCTTCGGGCCAACGCAGAGTTTTTGCGCAAGGCAGAGAGGTTCTGCGCTAACGACGGTGGGGAAGCGGGCGTAGGGTACTGCCATCCTTGCGTATGCGGCGATCATACGTTGCTGTTGCTATCGTGCGATGTTTGTACAGGGTGGTGCGTGTTCCTACACGAACGATCTAAGGCTGCACGCACCAAATGAAGAACGACTTAGCATCGAAACGCCTTCGTGGGATAAGGCGGGAGGACGTCGCTAGCAATATCAGGGGCGGGCAGCAGGGCATGACGTAGGCACTGGCGGCGCCCGGCAATCTCGCTAATTTCTCTCTATCGTTGGTTCCGACGTGCATGCTGGTACATCACCCCGCCACCACCACGACCACCACGACCATGACCCAGCTTCTTTCCTCATCGCTCGACCGAGAAGGTTCTACGGCGGTAACGGCGTTCGTGCGCGGGCGGCGCTTGGTGGTCGGAAACGTGGGCGACTCCCGGGCCGTGCTCTGCTCCGACGGGCGGGCGCTTCCGATGTCGAGCGACCACAAGCCGAACAAGCCGGAGGAGAGGAGGAGGATACAGGCGCTGGGCGGGCGGGTAGTGTACAGCTTTGGGGTCCCAAGGGGTGCGTGCAGACGATGACGTTCGAGCCCTACGTAGCAAGCAGCACGCGCCCAAGGTTCACGCATGAACAGAGAGCACACGTTGACATCGATTTGAATTATGTAATCTCTCTCTCTATGCACCTTCCTGCTGTTCATTTTCGGAAGCCTAGCTTTGCCGGCGGTTCTCCATTTGGACAGTTACACATGTGGGATTTGCGATGAGTGTCGTGTACCGAACCCCTATTTGCTACGAAAGTCATCCCTCTATTCGGTCTATTCGGAATGGAGGTCCTGGATAGAATCCTCAGCGCTTGTTCCTGTGAGGGTAACAGCAGCAGCAGCAGCAGCAGCAGCAGCAGCAGCAGTACCCGCAGCAGGAACGTCTCGTAAAAAGCAGCGTCACGAGTCTTGTCCGAAGGTGGCACTCTTTGATGAGAGTGTGCGAACGAGATCGGAGATCGTATGTGGTGTAAGATGGGCCGCCGCGGTCAGATGGGAGTAATCTACTCTTCACAGGAAGAACAAACCCTTACTCAAGCCCCCCACCCTTCCTTCTTTCTTGAGCCACCACAACAAAAAGTGGTGAAACTGTAACGTTCGACGTTTCGGCACACCCACCGTCGAACCACATGAAGTACATGAAGAGGTCACGGCCCAAGCCAGTGACACTTGCCCCGAGACTCCCCAGGGTCCTCAAACACATCCCACGGCTGAACACCAAAAACCAAACGTACCCCCCCCCCCCCCGCCATCCGTGCCAATTGATCACGGCCACCCCAAACCGACCGACGAACCCGAGCAGTCAACGGCATCTTGGCGGTGTCGCGCGCCTTCGGCGACCGCAACATGAAGGGGGCCGTCAACGCCGAGCCGGATGTGCGCGAACGCAGCCTGGAGCGGCACGACGACTTCCTGGTGCTGGCGACCGACGGCCTCTGGGACGTCATGACCAGCCAGGAGGTGTGCAACATCGTCTACAACTCCGCCCCTGACGTGGGTCCGCAGGTCTGTGGGACGGTTCATTCTTATATTACACTCTTCGTACCGCTGTGAGGGGCCTGGGACGAGAAGTGACGGGACATTTCACGCGATACTGCTGTGCCCTCGGACGCGCTGTGTCCGCCGGGGACGGATATGTATACGTCGAAAACGTTGGCGGCGTTTCTATCAGGCATTTCCTAGTCCACAAAGGTTTTTCTTGTCGATCCTGTCTCACTGCCTCTGTCTCTCTCGCCCTGATAGCAACGTTGTTCGAAGCTCCCGGGAGTACGACTACGTTTCCTTGTGCCCAGTGTTGCACCTCTGCATCGGCTGCATAAGCCCAGCAAACGACCGCGCCAGTTGTGGAGAGATCAGACTACAACGTTTGCGAAGTTTAAGGCATCTTGGAAAAAGGCCCAGTTCTCTGTACCTGCTGGGCAATATCCAAACCAAACACGAGTCCACGACAATATGTCCTCTTAGAAAACCATATATCACTGGCCTCATGTTTCTCTCGCGATTGTTTGTTTTTGCGCGAAAGGGGTGCTCCGAGCTCCTCACCACCATGGCGCTACGGAAGGGGTCACTGGACAACACCAGCGCGATGGTGGTCGACCTACGAGGTCTTTGGGATGTCGACGAGGGGGCACAACCGAAACGCGCGGGAAGCGTCGCCGTTGCTGCTGTGGATGCTGAGAGCGCCGGTACCGCCATCTTGAGACAAGAGCTTAAGGCGCTCTCGCCCTCTTACTCTTCGTCGAAACAGATCCTAGTCAATGGTGGTGGGAGTAGCGGCAACGGCGTCGAGCCAGATGGTGCCGGTGCCGCGGGGACAGGCGATAGGTCTAGGCCTTCTTCGTCGCCAGGGCTTTGGGCGTCGTCGCAGGTGCACGTAGTCGGAAAAAGGGAAGTTATGTTTTTCAAAAAAAATAGTACTTGAGTTGATATTTTGCCTACTTTCCTGCAGTGGCTTGCGTGCGTACAACATAGTCCGTTCTGCAGACGCTAACATGTTGGTATTGTCGCTTCGCTCACAGCTTAAAGTTGGAAAAACATTCCCAGCCTCAACCTCTCTCTGCCCGAGCTTCAACACTGTACGTTCATGTGTCGCCGGCGAAAACGACCGTGACGATGACAAAGTTGACCGTCGCCCAATCGACATGTAGTCAATGTCCCCACCTACCCACCCATCCATCCTCCCTTGGGCCCGTCAACTCGCCGTTCGGTTGCGGGTCTGAAGTTGTTGGGAGGATCACGTCGCCCTCGACATTTCAACATCGTCCAGTCAGCGCAGTTTAGGCGACGTATTCGTGCTTGTTTCGAAAGTCTCTGGTAGGGTCCGACGATCCCGCTCAATAGTTTTTAATGGCCCTGAAGCGCCACGGAAGTAGCGCACATCGCGCCTCTCCCGATAAACGGCATTTATTCACCGTTCCACACCAAGAAAAACATAAATGATTTTTCACTCAATCAATACGGGGCTGCATTGGGCTGCAGCAAATATGTCGGTGTCTTTTCCTCCTCAACGCCCTGCGCCTGCTCAAGTTCGGACGCCAAACGGGAATCAAAATCGTGCCTTGGATTGTTACGTTCGATTCTTCAAGCAACCAGTGCATCGATCCATCACTTTTTTGTTGTATTTCCGTATCCAAACAAAGAACAAGCAACGTACTGAGCCACGCCTTGCTGCTTCCGCCAGGCTCATCAGAACGGCAATATGGAGCAGGTCAACACCGTCCCCTCGGCGTGGAACTCGCTCGTGCCAAGAACGAAAGCCGGGGGGAACGGCGTGACAAACGGAGGTGGTATCAAGGGGGGAGCTGGAATCGCTAATGGCAACAGCGGGCGCTCAGGCCAGAAAAAGACGCAGCAACAGCAGCAGCAACAACAACAACAACAGCAGCTCCGCAACTTTTCTTCCCGCCGAGGAACAAGGAAAGGCCAACAGCAACAGCTTCAACAGCAGCCTATCGTCGATGCTGACGGCGCGGCGATGACTGCGGGCACTTTTCCCGCGGCGGCGTCGTCACGCCAGCATCCGCAAGAGTCTGGGGCAGGGAGGGGAGGGGCAGAGGCAGAGGGGGCGAGAGGCGGCAGTACTGACTCGTCGATAGCCCCTTGGTCAAAGGCGATGGCTTCCAAGGCGTGGGGAATGAGCGTCGCTACTGGCTCGGCTTGGAGCTTTGCCGGCGGCGGTGGCGGTGGCGGTGGCGGTGGAGGTGGCGGTGGTGGCGGTGGCGGTGCTCCAGGTCATACCATGTCGCCATCAGGCCATACGAACAGTACGGAGTTGGCAATGAGTCTCTACGGTGGTGGTGGCGTCGGGAGTCGTTCTCGTTCGCATGCTCGCCGGTCATCGGCGTAGAAGTAAAAGTAAATATTTTACTGCGTGTTGTGAATGTGAAAAGACGATTTTCTCCGCACGGTTTCCCCCCCCCTCCTGCGGACTCCCCGCCCCTCACTGCACCTGCAGCGCCTCACAACAACGGGGCATGCCGATGGTAAAGATGGTATGAAGCTGGTGTAAAAGTTTATCCCGCGGGTAGATAGAATGGACGGTGGGCGATGTAACGCGACCTGGGAACGCGGCATTGCAGCAGAGTAGATGGTGATAGTGAATGTTATTCCAACCAATGGGGGAGGTCGCGGGAAGCGGTCGAAGTTTCGTGATTGGAGTGATGAGAGAGACCGGGGGGGGGGGGGATGGGCAGACCGACGGGCACAAATGATGGTACTCTGCAAGAGAGTGAAGTTGTTAGGCAGGCGGTAGCTTTACGAGCGCGTATGAATGGCGCGATCGAGGATGTGTGGTTGAGTTTCATTTCTGCAAACACGGCTGGTGGGACATTTGCCATTTTTGGAGATACTGGTAGGTGGCCGCCGGTACATTTTCGGATTGAGAAGCTCAAGTTGGCGCGAAGTTGAAGTTTAGCCTTGGATGCTTGCCGCAACATTGACGGCCCTTTGGTAGCAACAAGTTAGATGCGGTGTTGTTTCGGTCTGTTTGCTTGCTTGCCGTCAACAAAAGAAACGTTTTGACTGCACGCGGTTTACGAATTTCGGGTGTGATCTTTACAAGAGCTCACGAACAGCATCATCATCGTCAGTCCATCGAACGAGATGCGATCACATTCTTGTTGTGCATGTGCACCGCTTGGATAATAAGGTCACAAACCGTACCACGTATGTCGCACCTCCGCCCTGGAGCTCGCCGGGGTTGGTTGTTGTGCGGAAGTTTGACAAAATCTACCCACACCAAACCAGGACAACAACAGCAGCAACAGCCGACCGGGTTATTTGCAGGTTCTAGACCAGCAGTGAGCCGCATATTTCGGCAGCGGGCGCGACTGTCCTCCCAAAGGCACATTCAACAACAAGGAGCAAAGACGTTGGGGAGAGCACACGTACATAACGCTCGCCGTTGGGGGGCAGACCAAAGTGGCGTGCGCCCGTCGAACAAGTCAACACGAAAATGTGTGGCTCCTGTGGGCATGGAGCGTCATCGAGGGCGCACGCAGGACATAGAACCAAGAAACGAGTCGAGTCACAAAACACATGGAACATTTTTCTATCGTACAACAAGACATCATGAGATTATACCATCGATCGATGCGAAAACCCCGTCATCCGCTACACACAGCAGTAGCATAACCTGCCCAACATACTCCCCAGCAGGCTCCTCTCTTTTCCTCTGGTCGTTGGCGCCCGCCCACATGTTCGCCCGATTACCACCCTACCACAGATCCGAGCATTCCCTACGCTATGTAGCTGGTCTACTGAGTTTCTTCCCCGGACAATCCGAAAACACACAAAACACTCGATCGTACGTACTCGTTTAGAGCACGCACCACTAAATAACTTGAGTCCCTCTCTTGAGCCCCTTCTGGTTCTCTCGCGGCGAAGACATTCCTACCTCCTACCGCACCTGCTCCCGGGCGAGAAACGGCTGTTGTGGCAAAACTCCACTGGCAGACTTTGGTTACGCCTGCCGGCGGGGGTGTATACCCGCTCGTCCATTCTACGGACAATCGAAACATTCACAAGACCAACTACCTGACTCGACGATGACAGTTGTTTTTTCTATTTCCCGTACACAGCACCTTCACGGCAGATGCTGTGTAGGTGGCACGCTCACCACGCAGCACGACGAGGACCAAACCAAAGACATCGAGAGTTCGGACGACAGGCCGGGCGACAAATTTAGCAAGAGAGCATGCGAGGGGATCACGTCCCACACTAACTACACGGAGAGGAGTATATACCATTTTCTTTTCGTCAACGACGCCTCGCGTCGTAGACTATGCCAAGAAAAAACGTGCAACAACACCATCATCACTCGAAGAAACAAGAATACAACAGCGGCAACGCGGCGGCGACCGATCGTGGCTCGTTTCGCCCTACACACGTCTCGCCTCATCATGCCTTAAGGAACCCTACTTCTCCTTGGTGCTAAGGGCTAGCAGGGGGTGCGGGGCAAAGGGGCCTACTTTCTCGCCTACGTTACCAGCAACAACGCCGCGGTCTACTTCCTGCGAAGGACGGTCGAGAGAAACAGAAAATACACGCTAACATCACAACCATCCGCAGGAGGAAAAGGAGACACGCTGCTACGCGGCGCCGGCCACGACCCAAAAAAAACGCCCCGCAGGTACGCCCACCCGCCCGACACTCCCTTCATCGTTTAGCATTTTCACACCCGAAACATTAACCCCGGCAACACACCCCGGCGGCGTGCCGGACAAACAGCCCTCATCCCAGCTGCATACCAATAGTGAGCACGCGACAGCCTTCAAACCCCAGCACGAGGCCCTGCAGCTCGGTCAGGAGGGGGGGTTAGGGTGGGGAACAGGTCGTCCATAGCCAACCCACACAACAACCCCTTCCCCCCCCCGGCCCCGCCCCACATTCTCATCCGTCCCACCGCACCGACCCAACCACTCCCAGCAACAAGCAGAGCCGCAGGCATCAAAATCAAAGGCAACCGTCGTCCGAGTGCAAAATGTCTACAGCGAGCCGTACCACGATAGGACAACACCACCCCGGATGCAAACCCAATTCTACGACAGCGGGTCGCCGCCGCCTTTCTCATCGAAACGAGAGCATCGCCTGCGCCGCCATGGTTCGCCTCTGGTCGTCCGCCACCACCGGTATAGACACGCCCCGGGGTTGCTGATCCTCCCCGCCTTCCGCTCCGGCGGCGCTCTCCTCTCCCTTCTGCCCCCCCGCAGCGACACCGCCAGTACCAGCCGCGGCCATCACCGCGCACTCCCCGTTGCTCCCGCCGCCGCCGTTCGCGAGGGCGGCGATGGCCGCTGCTACGATGTCGCCGTGGGCCACTACCGGTCCTGGCGGCAGCGACGCCTTGGGAGAACGGGGGGCGCCGCCTGCGTCAGCCGGGGACGGAACGGCGACGTCGCCGCCCTCAGCGGCGGCGGCAGCGGCAGCCACCGCCGCCGCCTGCTGCCCGCCCTCCTCCCCGACGCACACCTCTTCTTCCTCCGCCACCTCTCGGCCCTGCTCAGCGAGGGGGCTGTCCCTGCCGTTGCGTCTCTTGCTCCTGCGAACGATGCCGTGCTCGGCTCCAGCGGTGGCAACGCTCAAGCCGGGCGAAGCGGTACAAGCAGCGGTGGCCGCTGCTGTGGCTGTGGCCGTGGCGGTAGCCGCAGCCGCAGCGACCGTTCCCGAAATTGCCGTTTTTCTCTCCGGTTGTTGTACTACCCCGTAATCGGCTGACGGAGCTACAGGGGTCGGCAACACCGGTGCTGCCATGACCTCTGCAGGCTGGCGCGGTTCGACCTTCTCCCTCGTCACGACGCCGGCCCCGACACCGCTGACCCCTGAAACCAACGCAGAACCGTTGCACGCGTTCCCGTTGTTGTTGGCGTGAGCTAGGGGGGGCGGGTCGACGGCCACCGCAGTCGGGACGCTCTGGCCGTTTTTCGCTGCATCCCCGACCTCCCGGTCGTCCGCAACTCCCCTAGAAACTGTCCCGGTGCAACCGGTCGCCGCCGCGGCCGGAGCGGCAGCGGTAGCAGTAGAAGCAGCAGCGGCAGCAGCGGCGGCGGTGTTGGTGGCGGAGGCAACGTTCCCGGACGGATCGTGTTGCGGCACGTCCACCGCCGCGCCTTGCACGCACCCCCCAGCCCCGTTTTGGGTTGCCTGAAGATTGTCGCTAGCGATCGGGTAGCCGGGCCCAGCGGTCATATCCCTTCTTTCCGGCAGTTGGCTGGCGCCGGCTTCGATCTGCGACGGTTGCGCTTGTTCCGCCGTCACGCCCAGCTCGTGCGACCGCCACCCTTCGATGAACCCCGCCGCATTATTCTCCCCAACCCCTGCCACCGACACCGCCACCGCTGCTGTTGTTGCAGCCCCGTCCGCACTGTTTCGCTCGCCGCCGCTGTGCAACGGCCGGGAGTCGTCTTCGCAGGCCGCCGCCGCTACCCCAACGCCTGACGACGCCGCTGCTGACGTGCAAACCCCGTCTCTCGCCGGCGGCGAAGGAGACCCTAGGCCGAGACTCACACCGGTGACCCGAGTAACCGCACAACGTTCAACTGCCAACGTGTCCCCGTTTGGACCCGGCCACGCTATTGGTTGCTGCTCCCGGGACACCACCACCGCTGCCTGCGTTACCTCCGACTCCCCAAGCGTGGCAGCAGCACTAGCAGCAGCCGGAGCAGCAGCAGCAGCAGGAGCAGGAGCAGGAGGAGCAACAGCAGCAAGAGCAGGAGCAGCAACAACAGGAACAGCAACAGCAGGAGCAGCAGGAGCAGCAGGAGCAGCAGGAGCAACACCAATAGCAGCGGAGGCTCCCTCCCCACACCCCGGCAGAGGCGCGCCTCCGTTCGTGTCCGCGATGATCGTGCCGTCGACCTGACTGTTTGGTACCGGTGGTTGAGGTTGGAGCTGCTGCGGGTGCGGGTGCGGCGGCGAAGGCTCGTCGACGCAAGCGGTGGCGGTGGCCGCAATTGCGGCGGTAGCTTCAGCCACCGCCACCCTCCCCGCCTCCGCCGCTGCTGCCGCCGCTGCTGCTGTAGCCGTTGCCATCGGTACAACCCGCCCCGCGATTTCCGAAGCTTGTCCTGAGCACGTGTTCGCCCCTCCCTCTTGGCAAGCTGCCGCCGCTGGTGCTGCCTTGTCCCCCTGCTGTGCCATCGGCGTCGACCCGCCCCCCGTCTGAGCAGTGTTTTCGCCGGCAACCCCGGCAGCAACCGCCGCCACCGTCACCGCCGCCGGTGCTGTTGCTGCCGCATCCACAGGGACGGCACCGGCCGCATGCACCACAACAGCCGGCTGGGATGGTGACGGAGGGAGGGTAGAATCTAAGCGGCCCTGGCCGACCATGACTACGCCATTCGTAGGCTGTGGTCGCTGCTGATGCTGGCTGTTGCAGTCAGAGAACACGTCATGCATGCTGCGGATTTTAATCTCCAGCCTGCGCTTTTGGTCTTCCAAGATGGTGCGCATCTCTACGAGGTGTTCCGCAATGCCTTCTCCGGTGACCTGCGCGAACAGACGGCGAATTCCACGACAAGAGGGGGGGGGTCAGAAACGATTTCCTCAAAAAAGACCGCGAAGGTCTACCAAAGAATGGTCCAGAGAGAACAGCCACGTACAGATGGCGGGGAGACCGGTCACATCACCGCCTCCACCGGCGGCCTTCACCCACATCACCGCACGATTCGAGGCACTCGCCCACTCTTTTACCTAACCTTTTCACAAGAGACACAACTGACACCACAACGACACCGGGAGCGACGGACGGTACATACTGCTCGGCCAGACTAACCTGATCGAGCATCTTCATCTCCTCCACGCTCAGCACACGCATGTGCAGCTGCCGCAGCACCGCCGCCCCCGACGTCATGGGGTACCCCATCTCGCGTTGCTGTGCCCCCCCCCCCCGCCGCTCGCCATCCAGGCTCGTCGACTTCCGCCGGCGCGGTTGGACCTTCACGGCGCCCTTCTCGCTGCCGCCGCCTGCCCCCGTCCCCGCCCCAACAATGCCATTGCCGCCGCCACCGCCCGATCGCGTGTCGCGGGAGAGAGCGTCACTGCTCACGGCCCCCGTGGTTTGCTGTTGCCTCTGGTCTTCCGCGGTAACGCCCTCGGGTTGGGGCGTGGCGTGCATCGACTCGACCTGCAACATGAGCCGGGGCGCCCCGGGAAAAAAAATGCGATGAGAGCGCTGACACACGGGAGGCGCGCGTATCCTGGCTATTTTCCAGGCATCGATTGGTTTGCAGCACATGTGCACGGTACACCGCACACAGACACACACGCGTTGAAAACATCACCACCCGCGTGGCCTATCCAGTTCATTGGGCAAACACAGCAAGGCATGAACGAACTACTGCCGCCGCTTACGGGAAAAACACGGGTAAGCGTTCGTCGCACGCAGCCTCGCGAACCTGGGGGGAAACCCCCAACATTGATTTCCATGCCGCGCGTGCCGTGCGGCCTCACCTTTCTCTTCGACCGTCGAACCGGAGCGGTGGAAACGCCCCCGCCCGCTCCCAAGGTCGACGGAGCGACCGGCGGGGCCCGGTGGTGCAACCTTGGCCTGCTGTAGTCGTTCTCGACCGCCGGTTTTGGTCGCTTAGAACCGGCCGAACGCCCCCCTCTCCCCCTCCCCCTGGCCCTGCCGCCGCCCCGCCCCCCTCGCGCTCTGCCATTCAACGTCTCCTTGCCGGCCGCCGCCCGGCCGCCGCGCCCGCCGGAGGAGCCCGGCGTCGCCGAAGCAGAAACGGCGACGGCGTCATCGTTGCCGCCGCCTCCGCCCGCTTCCGCGTCGATGCTGTCCCGTCTTCTCTTGAACTTGCGCCCGTCCACCACGACGTCCTCCGGCTGAGGCTTCTTTCTCAGGTTGTTCGGCCTCCTGGTGGCATCTTCGGCTGCCGCCGCCGCAGAGTCGGGCGCCGCGGAGGGCGCTAACATCGTCGCCCTACCGGGCGGCAACGGATGCCCCTGAGGCTCTACTGCCGCCGCCGGTGCCGCCGCCGGTGCCGTTACTGCTGCCGTACCCCCGTCCTCGTGAGCCCGTTTTCGTTGTCGAACGTTGGGTCTATCCATCGACGACGACGACGACTCAGCAGCGGCGGCGGCGGCCACGCCACCGCTATCCGCCGCCGCGAATTGTGCCGGACCCCGCCCTGCGGGCGCAACCGACGAGATCGACGCGGCGGCCACCCGCACTGCTGCAAAGGAAGGCGAAGAGGAAGATTGCGACATGGACGAGCATGCCGACAGCGGAACGGCCCCAGCAGTGGCCGCGGCCGCGGCCGCAGCGGTAACCGCACCCGTCCCCGCCGCCGCCGTGTGCACCGCCGCTGCCGCCGCCGCCGTCATTGCACCAAGCTCATCGATCCGTTTCTTCTTTCTTCTGCCTTCCTCTGGCGTGTCCGAAGCCGCCGTCCCCGCCATCGCTTCAGGAGAAGCGCCTCCTCTGCCGCCCCTGCCGCCGCCTACGCCGTCACCGCCGCCGTTGGCGGCCGCCTTCGCCCCAGAACAATCCCCCCTCGTCCTGCTCCCGCCCGAACGTCCTCGCCCCTGGAGATCTGGCGGGCGGTCCATTCGAGCCTTACGGGGAGACATTGATGACTCGCTCGCGGGCGCAGGCCCGGCGGTCCCGCCGGCCCTCGGCGCCCTCCCCGCCCTTGGGGCGCTCGGAGGCCGGCTCGAGCGCGACCGGGCGGCGGCGGCGGCGGTGTCCCCGCTCCACTCGCCCCCGCCGGCGGCCGCGTGCTTCTCAGCCGGGGGGGGGCCTCTCCCAGGCCGAGAGGGGGAACCGGTTTCCTGCTTGTTCTGACTGCTGCCGTCTAGGGAATCCGGTGGTCGAGGAGTGACGGCGGCAACGGCGCCGCCGCCCGGGGCCGACGCCCCCGCTGCACCGTTCGCAGCAGCAGCAGCAGAGACAAGAGCCGCTCCACCGGCCGACGTCCTCACCGTCCCCGGCGCAGCTGCTGGTGCCGCCGCCGGTGCTCCGTCCTTCGTCACGAGACCCGCCGGGTCTGCCTTCCTTGCCGCGGGGTGCACCCAGCCCCTCTTCCCCAACGGCGAGTTTGGGTCGTTCAACGCTGCCTCCTTCGCAGCCGCCGCAGCCGCCGCAGCCTCCTTCGCCGCGGCCGCCGCGGCCGCCGCGGCGGCGGCGGAGCCGGTGGAGGCGGGGGTTCGCGCGTTGCTGTGCGATGTAGCGTTGGGTGATGCCGGCCACGGCGGCTGTGGTGGGCCGCGTGCGTGTGTGCACAGGACCGCGCAGAATCCCAGGGGAACGTGGCGGCTATGCTAAGGGTGCTAAATGTG